AAACAAGGAAGGCTCTTTGAACAGCCAAATTAAATTATAGCTGAACTTTTGAGTGTACTGAGGGTTCTAATAAGCCACAAATAAAGACTTTTATTGGCTAGCAACATAATGAGAGCTACTGTGCAAGAGATTTTTTTTAAAAAGACAAATCTGGGCAGTTTATCTCACTGGATTATATTATTTACTTAAATGGTAAAAAAAAATTTGTTCAAAGTAATGCTCCTAAAACCTAGTATATAAATATTAAGGAGTAATTATGATCAAAGGCTCTTTACTATAAACATATCACAAATTTTAGTGAAAAGACTGATAAACAAATGTGAAATTAAATGACAATATTACATTTGAAATCATTTAAGTCCTACACTTTAAATTTAGATTGATTCCTAATATAATAGCATTATCAATGTTCACCATTTATGTAAGCTTATAACATGAAATACATTTTGGAGAAATATTCTCTCTAGAACATAGCAACTGAACATAAAACTACTTCAAAATCATCATATATGGGAAGGGGGCAGCCCCTGTACACTAAACTTAGATATCCCATTCTCAGTGATAGGGTAGAAGGTACTTTTAATAGAAAATTGGAAGGTAGGCAATGCCCCTCCCACAAGATGAAAGTCACTCATCAGGTGACAAAATGACAAAACAGTACTTAGGCAAACCAAAACACTTAAAATGTATTTGGTTGCAGTTTCACTGATCCTCAAATCACCTGAAAGATGCAATCCTAGAAAGCTTAGCTGATTAACCGTTCTTGTTGAAAGTTCTGTCCTTCTTTAAAAAAAAATGGAAAATTTAAAAATATATATGAAACAGCACCTACAGTCCTAAACCCCAAGCCAGTATTCATTAGCTACTTTGTACAGCATTCTGATTGCCAGAGTGCTTTCTTTTTTTATATAATGCCTTAAGTATATCTAATAAAATCATGAGGCTCCCTCTAGCTCTTTAGAGAGGAGTTTACCAACCAATGATTGTATGTAATTCTTATCCAACAAGGAAAGATTTGAGACGACTGCCTCCCCTTCCACAAGAAATATTGTTTTCAACTCTGTTTCTTGTCAGGATGTAGATGGTAAATGAGACCATCTGCAGAGGAATTAAAAAAGCATTGCTCTTCATTTATGCATCAAGCAAAGAATCTATTAATTGCTTCCAACTAAAGCTGTGTGTACACAATTTTCTGTAGTGAAACTCTAACCTGTATAAACTATATACACATTTCTAACTTAGATTTGCACAGTGTATAAAATTTAAATCTAAAAAAAACAGTGTGTGAACATCCACATTCCAAACCTGCGAATTTGTCTGAACTCTAAAAGATTACATTTAAACACACAATCTTGCAGAGAGAAACTATTTAACAGTGTATCTGCAGAGTTTACGTGAAACAAAGATGCTTGTGGTACTCTGCAGAAAACATTTTCATGTACCGTAATATTTATATACAACACTGGTAATGACTTTTTTTATTGTTTAATCTTTTCTGTAAATCAGTATTGGTTATTTGGGTATTGTAGTTATTTAAAAGACCATAAATAATATAGTTGAATTATGCCATTGATATTTAGTCCATCTTACAATAGCCATAAAAGCCAAAGTCCACTGGCAAATCACTCCAAATAAGTGAGAGTACGGACAACACTACATCAAACTCTTCACACCCACTAAGGCCATCTTGCAAATACTTACAGGATATTTAAAACAGTGCTGAACCTTAACTCTAAAATTACAAGTAAAGGAAACCACTGGCTCCAAGTCATCACCTATTTTGGACTCCCTTCATGTAAGAAATATTCCCAGAAACAACAAAAAGAATAGCTCCATCTACCCTCCCACCCCCATCCTTCTTCTGCGCCAGTGTCCAATTTCTTCTTTTCTGAACAGCTGTATTATCCAACTTAAGTTGCTCTGCTAATTTCAGTCCCACAAGGACTAACTTGGAAGGCAAAAAAAAAAAAAAATACAAGAAAAGATCAATTTGCTGGGAAAGATCAAATGAGAAAACTGTGGGGACAGCACCAGGTCAGCCTGTGGAGAACTAAGCAGACCTGTTCTTCATTAACTGTGGCTCTCTGGGGATGTCACACACTACCTGTCCGTGGGCTTTATTGAACGGCCTAACCCGCCTCTCTATTCCATTCTTCTGGGCCCAAGTGAATCATATCCTGCTGCTGACAAGTTAGCAGGGGACTGCGGCTGCAACATGAAAGTACTTTTCTTTCTTGTCTAAATCAGGCAGATTTTTGAAAAGACGACACAGCATTGACTCGTGACATGGCAAGATGAAACGAGAGGTCTGGGCCGGTCTTGGAGCTGCGCAGATAAAAGTAATCAAATGACACTCCTGGAATGCAAATTGGCATTCTTGACTGCAGCAATTGCACAACCATGAAACATCCCTGACAGCAAGCAAGATTAGGACAAAATGTTATGTAAAGCACTGAACTCAAAAACTCTCACTTGAAAATTCAAACTGTAACACTTACATTTTAATACAGCAATAGTCAGCTCTGCTTTTGTCTGCTTCTTTTTGCAATCACATATCCTTGCCTGACAGATAACTTACATCTCAGGTAGGAGGGGAAAAAAAGGTATTAAGAATGTACTACTGCTATTAATAGTCTCTAAATATTTATCTTAAAAATCACATGGGGTCAATTCATAGTCAAAATTTTACACACAAACATAACCCCCTTAATATTCTCAATGGATGTGGGTGGCATTTCAGACCTATCTCACAAGATCCTCTAAATAAAGTTCACATTCATGCTCAGTATTACTTCCCTGAGGTGAAGATACTCCCATACTTTGGTAAAGTGATTAGCAATCTGGATTTCAAATACACTGCTCTCTGGGAACACAATGAGTAGCTACAACTAAGAACTTCATTAAGACTGAACAGCTTAAATGAAACAGCTACAAGTATGATATAAAACACAGAGCCTCTCTAAAGGTTCACAAGGGATTTCTGCGTGTGTGATTCCAAAGGGTAAAAGGAAGTTCTATTAACTTGTACAAGGTCTCACTACTAGAGTCCTTCTTCAGATCAGACACACTAAGTACTAATGCCAAAAGTAAACTGCAATTAAAGCATGTATATGTATGCACAGTAATATTTAAAACTGCAGAATACAAAATAGTGAATGACAAATCATCTTTGCCACTGTTGAAAGTGAGTAGTATACAGGGATAGATGTGTAGACAAACGCTCATAATGGCTAAGGGAAAAAGAAAAGAAAGATAATACCTACACTGGCTTGCACAATTTTCTTCAGTAAAATGCCATCAGATGAAAATCTCTCCAGCTCTCAATGGACATATTTAATATTTTTAATGCCTTGCTTAAACACGGGTTCCAACAACTACAACTGTCCATGGAGTACAATTTTAAAAAAATGCAACAGGCCACTTTCTGGCACTTTAATCCTACGCGCCCAAGGTTATTGTATGATGTCTTTTGTACATCAGTTTTACAACAGCTTGACTCTGGGGTAAATGGGAACCATCATAAATCGCATGCTGTTTTCAAAACCACTTTAATTTCTGTCAGCGTTCACTGTAACCACAGTCCTGGGCGCATTGGTGTATGAGTGTGTGTGCGCGCGTGTGTGTCTGTGCCTGCATTTTGACAGTAGCATCTCCTACACCTCACTTGTGACTTTGATCACTGCAACAAGAGATGTCACATTAGGGGAAGAGAGAAAGAAGGGAGGGAACCAACCCGTTATCACCCTTTTTCTTTTATATTTTATCTACATACGGGAACACAGAGGATCAAGATGCTTAGGGAGGAGGTAACAAGAGCCACGCTGGGGTGGACGGTAACTAAAAGGGAGTGGTCGGGCCCTTTTCTAACAAATCACTCCCCGAGAGCAGATGGACAGAGAGGCTCATCTCAGGCAGACTCCCTGCCCCAGGAGTCCTCGCTGCAGAGAAGCGGCTCGCAGAGAGAGGGGCTGTTGCGGGCTTCTCGCTGCTTCGCAATGTCAGTCCCATTTCCTCCAACACTGGGACTTGGAACTTAAAAAAAATCTTACCCTTCTTTCCCTGTAGATCTTATGTAGTTTTGTTTTGGATCAAAAAATAAATATTTGTTTTGCTCCATCTTCTGGCCCCAGATCCCCCCCCCTCCAATCAAATGTGTTAAATAAAACACGTCTTAGAACTGCACTTGGGAAATAACACACACGTGCATATCCAAGGTGGCTTCTCTGGCCCTGCGTTTTTGCGCATTCTTCCAAAAAGAAAGAAAGAAAGAAAAAGAAAGCAAAGAAAAAACCTGAAGGAAGGTTTCTTACCATCCTCACTTTACGAAGGGAGGGGGGGATGAGCCAAACGTGTCCTGGGCCGGTGGCCGTACCCCGGGCTGGTCGGCACGGGCACCCCCGGCGCGCCCTGGGCACCCCACGCCCGGCCACTCGTCCCTCACTCGCTCGCAAGTTGATAAAAGTTACCGTGGATCCCAAGCGCTTTTTCCTCTGCGCCCCCAGCTCCTCACAGCAGCGCTCCATTCATCCTCCGCGTCCCCCCCCAACACACACCCCTCATCCTCTCCCCCTCCCCCGCCGGTCCCCAACTCCCTAAGAGCCTCCGCTCCTCACCTTGGCCGGAGGGCCGAGCGGGAGCCACCCCGCTCGCACACGCACTCGCTCACTCGCGCGCCCTCCCACCTGGAGCTCGCCTCGGAAACTTGGGGCCAAGTTTAGGGAAGGATTTCGGGAGCACAGCTGGGACCAGGTTGGACCGGGTTTCCTCTCCCCTGCCCGCCCTCAAAGCGACCCCACACACAAGCCGCTTCCACCTCACGCCGCTGGCCCGGGGAGGCCGACACGACACCCCCACCCCCCCGCATACACACCCCTCCATTCCCATCCCACCGCCCCCCGCTCCCGGCCGGCCCGGGGGACGCTCCGGCGTCGGGGTCATTTCTTCCAAAGTCCAGAATTTTTTTTTAAAGGAAAAGGAAAAGGAGGGTGGAAACTTCTTACCATCTCGGCATGCTGGTTGTCAAGTGCAGCCCCCGCCTCTTGGTCTCCTCTTAGCGGCCGCGCCTGGACCAGCCCCTCGGCCGCCGGGGCTCCCGCAGACTCGGCCTTTCTTTCCCTCCCCCCTCCCGATTTCCTCCGGGCCGCTCGGCGCTCGCCGCCTCCGCCACTCCCCG